TTGTTTAACGTATCCACATGCCTTGATGGAGAAGGCCCTTCCGTTTAGGAGAAATGCCCTTAAAATTAATGAATACCTTGTGATACAAGTTTTTTTTTTTACATGCATGTTCAAGGGCTTTTATAACGGGATGAACTTTTGTTTATAGAGCTTGATGACTTTTATTACATTGTATTAAGCATTTCCTTGATGATCAAAGAACATTGTATCTCAAAGAACACAGACGTTTACCAGAGGGAGGGGGTTGGCGGTGGGCAAAATGAATGAAGGAGGTGAAAAGGTACAAACTTTCAGTTACAAAACAAATAAGTCATGGGGATGTCACGTACAGCGTGGTGACTGCAGTCAGGAATACTATAGTGCATATTTGATCGTTCTCAAGAGGATAGATCTTAAAAGTTCTCATCACAACAATAAAACCGTGTACCTTTGGTGACAGATGGTAACTAGACTTACTGTGGTGATCATCTCCCCACAAGTAAAAATGTCTAGTCATTATGTAGCGTTGTACCCCTGAAACTAATACTATACTGTGGCATATCTGTTATCCCTCAGTTTAGAAAGAGAAAAAGAACATTGTGTCTGTGCTGACATGGACTGGAAAATTGCAGGGCGGGGGGGCGGGGGGAGGGGGGTGCGTGATAACAGTCTCCAGAGGACCCAGGGAAATAAGAAGGATCTGCCTTTTATTTCATTGAAATCTTAAAAACTCATATGGCTTGAACTTCAATTGTAAAAAAAAAAAAAAAAAATCGGAAAATTAAAAAAAAAACTTGTGTGGGCCAGCAGTTATTTTTATCATCTGGCATAATTTTTAACTAAAGAAACAAAACAATCAATAGTGTTATAAAAGCCACTGTACTCTGAGCTTGAAACAACTGCTTCATGCTACAAAATTCCTGTTGCTTCCTCCATTAGTGACTGAGTAATTCAATATGTCTTGAATGTCAACATATTTTTATTACTCAGCTGAAGTTGGCTTTGCTGGATTAAATGCCATTTAAAATGATTAAGTGGCAGCTTGTTTGGGGTTATTTTTACATTTATGAAAGGGAAAAGCTTGCATGATACACACGGTTTTGAATCTTACAGGTGAAGTCTGTGCTCTGGTCAGCCCGCCCTTCATTTTTATCAACCAAAGAACAGATAACCTTCCAGATCTCTTCTTAGTAAGTGGTTTGCATAAAGGCCGCAGTTGGATGAAAAACCAGCATGGTGCCCAGTCCTGGGCAAGCCCGTACTTGAAGAAGTGTCTGGTTCACATTTACTGTTTTATGAGAAAAAGGGGGTTACCAAGACAGTAAAGAGAAGCAACAGAAACCATACACGTGAACATCTTTGTGCAGAAGGGGATGAGAGGAGAACCAGCCACTTGAAGTCGTAGCTCCAGGAAGCCTGCGGCTGGGAGGGCTGCTGATGTACTGCTCACCTTCAGAAGGGCAAACGTTCTCCACATCCAACTACATAAGACAACCAGATAGTTTTTTATTATTACACTAGAGTCCCAGTGCACAAATTCGTGCACAGGTGGGGTCCCTCAGCCTGGCCGGCGATTGGGGCCGTCTTGCCCAGGCCAGGGGGAGGGACTGTGGGAGGGTGACCGGCTGGCGGGGGAGGGGGGAGGGGGGTGAAGGAGGGGGGATAGGACTGCAGGAGGTTGGCTGGCTGACCAGCATGGGGAGGGGCCGTGGAGGTTGGCAGGCCATGGGAGGTTGGCTGTGGGAGTGCACTGACCACCAGGGGGCAGCTCCTTCATTGAGCATCTGCCCCCTGGTGGTCAGTGCACATCATAGCGACTGGTCGTAATGGTCACTTAGGCTTTTACATATAGATTTTATTCATATGAACACTCTAGAGAATTACATGCCAAATTCAGATGAATCTGAAAGTGTCATCAAGGTTCTTTGTGGTAAAAATGATTGTAACCCTGTGGGAAACAGCAAACTTATACACAACTTCACCACCACCACCACCTTGTTCCTCCTATTTACCTGCATTTTATGTGATAATATTTGGTTTTGTCAGATGTTTTCCACTTGGAAGAGATGGTGGGAAACTAAAATGTATCTGCCATTGGATGGCAGGGCAACAACTGGACCATTAAACCCAGCTCAGTTCTCTGTTTCCTATTTGCAGTAAAAATGTTGTAAGACAGGGAGGTGGCAGGGGAGGGGCAGCCCATACTACTGCTGTGCCTGGAAACTAGAGTAGTCGTATTACTACCGCTGATTATTCTCAGTCTGCAATGGCAAGACACTGGCTTCTCTAAGTACTTATGACACTAGGATTCGTCCCCCTGCCTGTCTCCCCCCCCCGCCCCGCCCCGCCCCCTCAGCCCACCCTCCCGCAGTAAGAGCACAGCTGTAGGTAGGGGTGGAGTTCGAAGAGGCTGGCCAATGGGATTCAGATTCCAGAAGCCTGGTCATCGGTTTAAGAACACCACTTGTCCTTTTCTAAAACACAATGAAATACATCACATTAACTTTCACATGCAGATAATTGGGAGAATACAGTAAGAGACACTAAAGATTTATGGTTTATTTTTTTTTAAATGCCAGGTACTTTTTTTTATTTTAGAGAGGGAGAGAGAGAAACACATTGATGTAAGAGAGACACAAGAGAAACATCAGTCAGTTGCCTCCATTGGTGTATGGTACGACACTCCAACCAACTGAGCCACACCCGCCAGGGCAAAATTTATGATCATTTTAAGTTTCATGGTAATTCCTAGAAAAATTAAGCCTCCCAGAAAATTCCATATTTTATGCCAGTTCCTTCTGTTCAGAGACTACGCTGGATTTCATAAAAGGTGCACTAAACAGAGTTGAACCTTGCTCTGGAAAGTCCTAAATTTTTACAAACATATACCTGTTCACCAGCTTCCCTGAGGATAGAAGCCGCATTGGGCAGTGTGGCCCGCACCGGCCTCCGAGTCACGTGGAACCTAGAATCCTGTGACCCTCCGGAGCTGCGCCCCAGCTTCCTTGTCCATAGAATACCTCATCCCGTGTCGCAGGGGCCAAATGCAGCCCTGCCCACAGAGTACACAGCACAGCGCCTGCAAACAGCACCAAAACATACCGTCGTTACTTCCATTACTTTCTCTTCACTCACATTATTGCTCATCCGATAATCCTGTAAAGCAGCGATCTTCAACCGGTGTGTCACCAGAATGTTTTAGACAGGTAATACCTACCTGACTACTTTACTCAGGGCACCGACCTCTTTTCCCTTAGATTGTCAAATTAAAAAATGACAACAGCCAACACAACAATAGCCGTCTAGTGTGAATGAATCAAAATTATACCTAGTTTTCTGTCAGTCCTTCAAAAAATGCGTTTTTTGGTGTGCCGCAGAATTTCAGTGACGGTGTATGTTGTGCCCTCGATGAAAAAGGTCAAAATGACTCCTGCAGAGTAAGGGCTCTTAGTCCCGTTTCGTAAATGAGGACACCGAACCTCAGGGAGATTCAAGAAACTCGCCCAAGGGGACCTGACTCCATTCCCCTTGTAGGCACACTCCAGAGAAGGGTGTGTTTGTTTCTCTGGGAGGTGACGTGCTGGCTCTGAGACACTCCAGGTCTCCCAGGCCGCGCCCAGCAGGAGGGAGTCAGCACATTGTAGTGCAGGGGCCTCGGGTTTCAAGTCCCAGGACCTCGGGGTGAGAGGGTTAGGAATAACGTGTGGAGAGTGCCAAGTACATGCGTGGCATCCTGCGGCTCGTCGGTTATCACCAGTCATGCTGGCGAGGGCCTGGCACAGCTCCCGGTCCACAATGAGCACCTGGAAGTTGGGTCTCTTATTCTCACCCAGAGGCCAGTCCAACATGAACTAGACCTAGAAAGTACCTGTCGGCCCCCACCCACCTGCTAGAGGGCAAACCACATCCCGCGATGGCACAAACCCAGAGCACACTAGCACAAAGGAAAGGCACCTTCTCTTCGTTTTTGTTTTTTTATTTTTTTATATATATTTTATTGATTTTTTTACAGAGAGGAAGGGAGAGGAATAGAGAGCTAGAAACATCGATGAGAGAGAAACATCAATCAGCTGCCTCCTGCACACCCCCCACTGGGGATGTGCCCGCAACCAAGGTACATGCCCTTGACCAGAATCGAACCTGGGACCCTTGAGTCCACAGGCTGACGCTCTATCCACTGAGCTAAACCGGTCAGGGCCGCATCTTCTCTTTGAATTTGCTAGAAGCCAGGGCCTGGCCTACATGAATTCACTTAATAAATCTTGGTTGCCCACCCAGTGATGGAGCACCCGTTTTAAAGTAGAGAAAGGAATTTTTTGTACGGGGTTTCTTTCTCCCCTGCTTCCTCTGCAGTTTTACAGACCTCCCAAGTATGCTGTAGTGAGAATATCTGTACTCTTAAAAAAAAAAAAAAAAAGAAGCAGCAGCAGCCGGTCACAGATCCCACGGTCACGGTCACGGAGTCCCATGGCGTTTTTCTTTCCCCACAGCCTTTCACACAGCAGGCTTCATTTTCTGCCATTGCTTAGCCGACCCCAATCTTCTCGTCTTTATCTGTTCAGCATCACCCTCCACCCCCAGGTCATCTTAGCACCACCACTGATCACCCGCTCTCTCTGGAACACCGGGACTTGCCTCCTGCCTGCCCACTTTTCAGCACACTTTCAGGGCCAGTGCATTTGCAGTTCGAGCTGGTTCTCTCTCTCCTGTGGGCTCTGCTCAAAGTCAGGTCATGGGTCATGACGGTGGACAAGTCGCTTCCTCTCTCCCGGTCACTGTGTCCCCCTCTTGGGAGGAGGCAGTTGGAGGGGATGGTCTCAGGCCCGCACAGGACTGAGGTCACCCTCCCCAACACCATCCCATGTGCCCCTCAGGGCCCAGGTCTCCCTGTCAGACGGGAGGTTAGGCCGTCCATCCAAAGTAGGCCAGAGCAGTTACTCACTCGACTGTTTTCTGATTTGTGTTCTTGGTCTCGACAAGAAACCTTTTCAACAGCACTTTCTTGCCCTTTTCCTCGGCAGACTGTAGACTGCTTTGGGATTACGTCTATCAGTTGCTTTCTGACAGCCGGTACGAAAACTTCATCCGATGGGAGGACAAAGAATCCAAAATATTCCGGATAGTGGATCCCAACGGACTGGCTCGACTGTGGGGAAACCATAAGGTAAAAGGGCACCAGATATCTGCTCTGTAAACTGGTGCCAAAACAAAGCCTTTCTGCCGGGGTTGGAGGATAATTGTCTGTCTGCTGCTTCCTAAGTCTGCCCGTAATCATTTAGTTTCTTCCTTACTGGGCCAACAATTAGGCAGTTGCAAAGGGAAGGAGATCATTAAAGATGCCCCTTTCCGGTGTGGCTCAGACCAGGTGCCAGTGAGCTCTGCCTGTCCTGGCCTCCGGGCTGAGGGCTGAGCAACCCTCACCGGCCCTTTGACCTGGCCCTGTTACCTGTGTCATTAGGAACTGGTAACGGGGAAGCACTCGGGGCTCTGACGCACGAGGGAGCCTTCTGAAGCGTGGCTTCTGTTCCGCTCAGTCGGAAACTCCCATGTTCCCGAAAGCCTCTTTCCCACGGAAAATACTGACATTCTGACTCTAAAACATCCCCCTTTCAAAGCACACAGGGCAAGAAGTAGGCTTGCCCCATGAGTTCCCACACTAGGAAGAGGGAGTGGAATCTAAAAGATAAAGCCTTTTAGAGTTAGGAAAACTGTTCAAGGGCACAGATGGAACCAGGAGGTAAAACAACCCAAATGTACATCCATGATTGAAGGGATAAAGGAACTGTGGTCTGTACCTGCAAGAGAAAAGAAGGAAGTCCTTCCGTATGCGACCACACGGACAGACCTTGAGGACATTATGCGAAGTGTAGTAAGCAAGTCAGAGAAAGACAAATACTGGCTGATTCCACTTCTATGAAATACCTAAAATAAGCAAATTTATTGAATCAAAGAATGGAATGGTGTTGCCAGGGGTTGGGGGAGGGGAAACTGAGGAGTCACTAGTCAATGGCCATGAAGTTTCCTTTAAGTAAAATGAGTAAGTCCCAGGGGTCTGCTGTACAACCTGTTAACACCAGTGCATTACGCACTAAAAGTTTGTTAAAAGGGTAGATCTCATGTTAAGCGTTCTTGCCACAACAAAATAAATAGAGCAAAGAGCACACCTACCCCCAACCCCCAATGCTCCCAAAAAGAAAAAAAACTAAATAACTAAATCTGTATTCCTACTTTTTAAAAAAATCAAGTAACCAAGATCCGGGGCTGACCACAGACAAGTGGGTGGCATAATGGCACAGTGCCAGCTCAGCCGAGTGAGAGGGGACCAGGGGGCCGTGGCCGAGCGAGCTCTGCCCTGTCCGCAGCCTAGGAGGACCCGTGCGGCCATGACCGCACGCGGCAGGGCCCACTCCACTGCCAGACACTTCCACGCGCAAGTCCTGGGAAAAATCCCTCTGCACCTCCCACACGGTGCCCGCGCCGGAGCCCCAGCCCAGCGCTGGGAACCTCTGTGTTCTTGCTTCCACAACAGGAATTTAAGCAACAAAATATCTCTTCCTTAAAATGACAAACCAGAAACACAGTTTGAGAAAGGTCACTACAACAAAAAAGAGAAAAGCTCTCCTCGGTGGGTCAGAAGGTGAAGGATGGCCCACAGATAGTGGGAACCTGCAGGAAATTCCTGGGGCACAGCAGAGCGCGGTCTTGGGAAAGGAAGTGAGGGAGGCTGCTGCGGGATATGCCCTATTAGCCGGAGCTCCCTCCCCCTCCGGGACTCCTGACAAAGGGTGATTCACTGGGAGAAGTCTTGGCGGCTGAGGGGTGGGAACGAATGGGCCTGGGTGACCGCAGATGCGCAGGTAGCTTCCCAAACTTTGGGGTCACGGCAGCCGCTGAAGAACTTTTATTTTAACAGCTCCCCCAGCGCCTTTTCTGAGGTTTATTTCATTGTGTCTTTGTGCTTTTTTTCTCCCTTCCTCCTTTGAACAAACAGAACAGAACAAACATGACCTATGAGAAAATGTCCAGAGCCCTGCGCCACTACTACAAGCTAAACATTATCAGGAAGGAGCCCGGACAAAGGCTTTTGTTCAGGTAGCACTTCCTTTTTCTCCTTTCCTTCTTTGGGGAGGATATTGTTTTCTTTAAATAAGAGGGAGGAGGGAGCCTGTTAAGATCTCCACCTGCCTATCCGATACTCAACGCCACCGGAGCTGTGAATTGGATACCAGGTGCTGGTTTGTTAGAATTTAAGAAAAAAAAATCATTTTTTTTAATTTATGTCTGTCCTATAGTAAAACCAAAAGTAAGTAAACACAGTCTGACTCCCCTGTAAAACAGTGCAATGCTCAGGTAGTATTACCTGCCATCAGCATCCAGTGTAGGTAAGGGAGCAGCCAGAGTGACACTGTCAATGGCAACACCAGGGCTTGAACCTGGACTTGAAAATATCAGAATATATTGCACGAAACTCAAAGGGACTGTTCATTTATGAAAATTTTGTTTCAGGTGTGTGTGTGTGTGTGTGTGTGTGTGTGTGTGTGTGTGTGTTACAATATATTTGTTATAATGCACTGAAAGCTGTTGCTCTAGAAATTCCTCTTCCCAGAATTCCTCACACTGAGTTACAACCATTGAAACTACCGCATAGATTGTGATTCCAAGTACAATGTAAGAAGAGAGAAAGAATTAGAAGAGGAAGGAGAAGGGACCTAAAGAACCGGTCAGGAGAAGTAGAACGCTGGTGTTCATGGGTGGTAATGGCCATGGTGAGACCAAGGGAAAGTTGGGAGAGTGTGAGATCAACAAGCAAGCTGAGGCCATGAGTTTTGGCAGGTGGGACAGAAACGACTTCTAGATGGGACTCAAGACGTGGGTTTGGAGTTGTTTATGTGCAGATAGAAAATGACACTGCCTGTGTGCAGGTGAGCTCACTGGAAAGAGTGGAGAACCTGGGCTTTAGTGTTGGGAAGGGGCAGTTAAAACAGTTGAGATCTTAAAAACAATGGAAAAGGCCGCTCAAGAGATGGACCCCGAAGGAACTAAAGTAAAAAAGAGCCCTCCTTTTGCTGGCTGTGCTGCTGCTGCCCTTCATTCTTTCCACACCTAGTCCGTGGCTATATTCTTCCCACGCTACGTGCTTTTTTCCTGAATGAGTTGATCCCATCACATAGCTTGAATTATCACCTCAGCGGTTAGACTTTTAAATCTTTGTACCCAGCTTTAAAACCTCCCTGAAGTTTCAAATCTGCATTTCCAAAGGTTTCTTATAGGACTTGTCCATTTAATGTAACGTTAGTATCTTGGACATGCAACATTCAAGACAGACCTTCACATGCTAGAAATCCCCCCCCCCCCACACACACACACACCTTTGCTTCTCATCACTGGCATCACCATCATGTCAAGCAGCCAGCCTTGACACCACTGTTACTGTGACTCTCCTATGTCCAAGCCAGTGGTTGTGCTGAATTGTTCACTGGATCCTTTCTGTGCTGCAGGCACCACATGTCCCAAGATTTCTTATGAGCAGGTTCCAGGTTGGAGTTTATCAAATGACAAGCACTTTCTTGAGATGTGGAAGATTCGAGAGAGGCAACAGCCTTATTGTTGCTTTCCGAGCAATGGAGACTGATATCTAGACTTCACATTCACCCCCAGATTAATTTGACATTCTCTGTCCACCTCTGGTCCACTGTCCTGCCTCCCAAATTCATTATATACACTGCCAGCCGCCCTGCAACACAGATGCAGTTCCCTGTATCAGAAACATTTATCACTTTGAGTTTTGCTTTTTAACATATATACCCTCTAGGTCCACCTCCAGTTGGCTGCCTTTATGAGGCCTTCTGCAACTGCTCAAACACACAGAAATCTTGTTCTGTCATTTCTTGGCCCTAAACCACTTCATGATCTGCATTTTTGTTGTTGTTGTTAACCCTCATCCAAGTATATTTTTCCATTGATTTTTAGAGAAAGTGGAAGGGAAAGGGAGAGACAGAGAGAAACATGCATGTGAGAGAGACACATCGATTGGTTGCCTCCTGCACACACACCCGCCCCCCTACCCCCGACCAGGGCCGGGGAACCTGCAACCAAGGTATGTGCCCTTGACCGGAATCAAACCCAGGACCCTTCAGTCTGTGGGCTAATGCTCTATCCATTGAGCCAAACTGGCTAGGGCGTGGGCTGCATTTTTTATAGTGAAGTCCTTCTCCCCACAACTAGGTCATAGGCTCCTAGAAGGTAGAGGATTACATTTGGTATAATTCTGTTGTACACCTTATGGAGGCTTTCAGTAAATATTTCTTGACGCCTAGCTTGGAGTATCAGAAGCGTAATATGGAAAAGCAGTCAAAGAAGAAAAGTGTCGTTTGAAGGGCCACACATCGCCTCTCTGTGGGCATGGCCTGGAGGGCATCGTTAGTGACTTCAGGTGTTGAGGGGGAAGCATTAGTGAGGGGAGGAAGGATAGAAGACAGACCACAGACACTACAGATCGTGCTGCCTCCGTAATACAGGCAGAAAAGAAAAGCAGTGGTAGCTGGAAGGTTCCTAGGTTTCCCGTAGTGATTTTGAACAAGATGTAAGGGGAAGAATCCTGCTATTAGCGGGGCTGATTAGTCATTTTGAGAAAATGAGTGTTGCAAGCCAGACTTGCCACAAAACGAAGGCTTCTTGAATTGAAATCCAGGGTATAATCAGGTGACGTATTACATTGTGGGTGCTCAGTACAAGATGTTTGGGAGAGGAGGGAGGAAGGCTTCGGCATAGATGGGTTCCATTAGCAGCTCTTGGATGATGAGGTGGAGCTCAAAGCATGAGTAGGGCTCAGACATCGAAAGGGGTAGAGAGGGTTCTAAAAGAGGCCGAGCTAGAGGTTGGGAGGCTGCCATGAGCCATGACTATAGAAGGAAGAAGACTGGCCAGACGAGGATGGAGGATTTACAGTGGAAATAAAGAGTTTCGTGGGTGTGATGACAAAGGGCCCCGGTGGGCAGGCCGGAGACTGGGTCCTTGACTTGATAAGTGGTCATCGTAGGCTTTGGACCTGGAGGGATGAGAGAAAACGAGTGTGTGAAGACAGTTCATCTGGTGCAGGGCAGAGTAGATGGGAGGGGAAAGGCGTGCCAGCACACAGTGGGGCTGAGGAAAAGACACTCCCACAGTAGGGCAGAGCGTTTGCATCTAGGCTGCCTTCCAGAACCATGAAATTGTGGTCGAAACGTCACCGAAGTTCTTTCCAAGGGAACCCCGTGAACAAGAAGATGAGGCTTGCAGTGTGCGCCTGGCTGCTAAGGAAGACAGGCTAAAGAGGATTCATTGCTAACGTTTTGGATGTGTTCGTGTTAACATTGAAAAAGATTTTCTTTTTGCCTTTCTGATTTTCCAACCACCATTACTAACTGGTCCTATTAACAGAATTTTCCATTCAGCATTTAATTGTATCCTTTGAGTTAAAATCAAGTTTCAAATACCGTTCCCTGGACTCACAGTTTGGGATGGAAGTGGATCTACAGCTCTCGTGGGTCCTTGTAAAATATAACTCTTTAAAAATAAGAAACACAGATGAGTGAGCTGTACCAGGGTTCCCTCACAAGGTCATGTGGGATGCACTGCACAGCTCCAGTGGGCTCTCTCTGCCTGCTATCTTCGCAGCGTCTTTTTAGAGTCATTTCACCATTTTTCAGGCAGTCAGGATAAGGGGCACCCTTTTCTAACTGACAGTAAGGTACCGTTAATAGCTGGCTTCAGTAGCTCTCCAGCTCTATGAGGTGATAGGGCCTTTCTCTTTAGTTTCAAGTTCAGGGTGAAAACAACTTTAGCAAAATACAATCTCTTAACTCCTCCATTTCCTCTCCCAAAGGTTTATGAAAACCCCAGATGAAATCATGAGTGGCCGGACAGACCGTCTGGAGCACCTCGAGTCCCAGGAGCTGGATGAACAAATATACCAAGAAGATGAATGCTGAAGGCACCAGCCCCATCTCAGCGGCCGCAGCCCAGGGCACCGCTGCCCCAGGACTGCTGAAGGCGGAGCAGGGGACTGCGGAGAGTAGGAGAGGACGAGGCCCGCAATGGGAGTGACACTTCCCTTGCAAACCAGGAGGGACCCAGAGCACCTTAGACAAACCACCCAGCAAAGGCAGGGCTAGAATTCTGGCCAGCGGCACGAGCCCAGGACTCGCGTTCACGTTGCCCCCTCATTCGGAATCTGTCCATCTGCAATTCCTCACCCTCGCCCTTCCACCTGTTGTCAGTTTCACGGTGTTTTTATTTTTATTTTTTTTATGACCACACAGTTTGACTCTCATCAGTCATCTAGGGGAAGACATGAGCTTGTTCTCCTATGGAAATATTATATCTATTATATATATTTTTTGCAAATCTCACAAAGTGTGGCAAACCCAGCTCGTCAGGAAAGAGAAAACTTGCAAAAGGGTCCAGCTCCTCTTGCCCCGCCACGTGGATCCAGTCTGTTCCTGTTGCTGTTGGATCTTGGGAGGCAGGGGGCAGGGAAAAGAGGATGCTTTTAAAAAAGATAAAGTGAAAAAGGAGAGGTCTCTTTCTCTCTCCTGCTCTTTCTCCTTCCCTGCCTTCTCCGCCCCCCCCACCCCACCCCCGCTCCCCGCGCCCCCCTGGAGTCCAGCCTCTTGGAGAGTCTGGGTAGCAATTGGCATCTAAACAGAATCAGTGGCCTGGGTGCTTTGGGGCCAACGCCGCTAAGTCAGACCCACATCCTTGCACTTGGCCACCGTCCGAGGGAGCCCCAAACACCTGAGAGGCTGCTGTCCTCCAGGGAGACGGGTGTCCATCCCGCAGACAGACACGGCGTGAGGGCCCCGCAGCTCAGGGTTCTACAGCCTCGGCCCAAGGTGGACGCTGCGGGTTATTTGGAAGCCCCAGCACCTGGGATCACAGTGGAAAACCCACAAAGGCCACACAGGCCTGAGGGTCCAGAAACGGAGTGAGAGCTCTGAGCTGGGACCTGTTATCCCGAAGCAGGCCACGCAGGCAGGCAGGGTGCCTGTGCTCCATCACGTGGTCAGTTCCATGCCCTCACCTAACTTTTTTTTTTTTTTTTTTTTTTTTTGCAATTTCTAGGCTTTTTAAAAGTTCCCCGGTCCCCAGAGGGCACAGGGCATTGGAGAAGGAGGACCTTGGAATGTGCAGTCTCGGTTGCTACCTGTGTTTGCCCAGCCTGGGCAGACAGCAAATCCCTCAGATACAGGACCGTTTCCTTCTGTCCTTCTTGCATAGCTGTGCTGCAGAATGGACCCATCCGTGGCTCTTTTTCCCCTCAAAATAAGATCGATTGTATCTAGGAAAGTGAGGCTAGCGCCACCCCTTCGTACTTTTGATAACATTTTTAGAGAGCTGTTTAGATTTGCTTTCCTTTTCTAGCCGTCAAAGTTCCCTCTTCCAATACAGGTTCAGAATCCAATATGAGGAGTACAGTGTGTTTTAATTCAAAAGATTGGACCTGCCTTACAAAGCACCCCCTCCTTCTTTCCCTCAGCTCCCCCAGGGTACGTAGGTGATGGTCAGCAGGGGTCCCAGGTGAGGCTGCCAGACCCCGCCTCTTCTCCAGCCATTAGACACAATCCTTCCCCAGCCTCCTGACAAGGACACCAGTGGGGGCGAAGGGCACCATAGGTTAAGGATGGTTTCAGCACCGTGGACTTGAGGAGCTGATCGGGGCTCTTTGTTCTTGCTCTGTTCCTGCCTCAGATCAGACCATATGTAGACACACGGAGGTGGCCAGCCACGCCCACGTCACACACTCCCCCCACTCTAACTTGCAGAATATCAGGCTTGTGATGAGGTCAGAGACCATCTGTGGGAGGCTAGGGGCTCCCCACGGGGAGGGTCTGGTCTGAATCGGTGTGGATGGGGCAGTGCCGCTGGGTCCCAGCAGGCCACAGATGTCTCTCAGGAGTGTGCAGCCGCACACCAGCCTCTGAGATGACTGATGTCTCTCCAAGGGGGAGATGAAGCCAGATACCTGGCGTGTTGTGTAAGCCACTGCGTTTGAGGGCTGGAGAAACAGGCTGGATTTTCAGTGGGGCCCTTTGTGTGATTATGAAATCAGACACCAGGGCATGATGCTCTTCCCTAAGATGAGGATGTGTCATTCCGTCCACCTGACCCAGGTAGTGTGACTCAGGCTACTTTCCAGTCCAAGAATCTTATGGATGAATTATGGAGGAAAATTCCCTTTGGCCCCAAGGATTTCTCTGTATTTAAAGCAATATTCTCTATGAAAATGTAAGACCGGATGACACCTTCAGCCACTTAAAGAAGAAATAGAAGGTGCTAATTCCAGTATAGTCTTGATTTCCCATTCAGGTATTTATTACCAATAATGATTTTCTATTGATTTCCCTTAACATCAAAGACCTTCTCATCTGTTCTTTGAGAGAACACCTGGGCAGTGCTGACACCAGGGGTACCGTGCTCACACATGCAGAGCCCAAAAGTTTCAGATTGAATGTAGCCAGCCTTCATGAAGCACCTGTGAGACCCGTGAGGGACTCAAAAGTGAATCGGGTACGATCCTGCCCTCTGAAAGCTTGCTTTCTACCTGCAGAATCCATCCAGCATGACATGTCCCACTTCAACACTACATACCAAGGGCGGTGAACATTACACCTGGGACCAAGTTAAAAGCACGTCTGTGATCTACACAGTTGGTCTTTCCCTGCAGCCATCATGGGAATTATTGGCTTGCGAGATCAGAACTTGGGAAAGGAAAATGCAGAGGAAGATTACCTAGGGGGAGGGGAGCTTTCTCCAGCAGTGTCCGGAATAGGCACGCTCACTTGGATCTTGAAATTCTCTAGCATCTCCTCCCTGCACTTTGAGTTACTCAGGCTGCCTCCTCTCCATCGGAAGGTAGCAGTGGCGAAGGGATGGACTGGCTGTGTGGAAGTAACATGATCTCTAAGATCTTTTTGTACTAAGGCAACATGGCCTGGCCTAAGGCAGCATCACCGATGGTTCAGATCATGGGAGAGGGGTGGTCTCACAGGAAAAGAGGAATAACAAACTTAGGATATGCTGCTTTCAACAGTATCTTTGGAGCCTCTGATCCATTGCCTTCTGACACTGAGGGTGTAGATTTAGCTGACACTTAAAGGCTATGGCAAGATTTACCTAAATGACTAAGTCGGCACCATTTCCACCTTTCCCTGCCTAGGTTCCAACTCTGAAAACATTTTTGAAATATTAACTCCTTTTGCAGAGGGAAACCTGAGTGTTAGAGAGGTACTAGGACTTGCCCTAGGAGCAGACAGCATGCCAGGGACGGAGTTAGGTTTGGGATCCAGCCCAATCATACCCCCCATTTGACCCATTCCCACCCAGGAAGCTGAAGATTAAAGGTCTGGGAAAATACACAAAGAACAAAGGGCGGTTTTCTTCGCCCAGGCATTCCATTCGGTGCTAGTTAGTTTTCACCTGCTCAGCCTGCTCCTCTCTGGGCAGAAGCCTGGAATGAAGGAAGTGACAAGAGGAAGCCAGCACAGGGGAGGGAGGGGACACAATGGTCCCTGCCTGTCTAAAACCCCCAAGACTAACCTGATACTCTTGGCCCCATCTGCATCAACACTAACAGCTCCGAACTCCCTGGATCTTTCACACACGCCAAGTGAACATTCTTGAAGGTTCCTCTTTGTGACTGCAACCACCTGCAAACCCAAATGAATCTAGAATTTCTTTTTTGTTTTCTCTTTTTGTTTGTTTAATTTCTAATCTCTTGTTTATGAGGTGTGGGGTTTATAAGGGACAGAATCAAATGAATGTAACAAAAAAGAAAAAAAGAAAAAAAAATGCCTTTTCTCAGGGCCAGTGAGTTGCAAATAATTTTTAAAGAAAAGCCTATAATTGCATCATCTCAATAAATTTTTTATTTAAAAAAAAAAAAAGGTCCCAAGTGTCTATTTTAATAAGATGAAATGGAGTCAGAGGCAAGGTGCCCCGATGAGGTAAATCCTGTCTCCGCTCAATTGTGGTATAAAGTGCAGTCACGGTTTTCACTGGCAGGAAGCCTCTGTCACAGGGCCGTCTGCAGGCGATCTTCAGCCCTGAAAGGTCATGGCAGACCGTTTAGAGCTGAGCAGCTGGCCCAGGTGCAGAAATTTGCCAGGAGGAACCTCGGTCAGAGATGCTCAGGTCCTGTGCTGTGCCAAAGACTTACCAGTTCACTGGCGACCCAGGCAATTCCAAGAGCTAAAGGGCCTCAGGTCTCTTCACAATAGATCTGCGCCCTAATCCTACTGAAGTCATGGGTGTGAGCCTACAGCTGGTGAGGACACACATGTGAGTCGAGCTCATACGTATACACTGGACCATAGTCTTTATTCAGCTCAGAGCTGGCCCCATGCTCAGAACGTCCCGGCCACACTGACCCATGGAGCCACCTGCCAACTAATAGACACTTAGGATGGCAACAGCAAACGAGCAGAACTACATTGGCCGTCGGTGGTGGGTAGAAACTAAAAGAAGAATGGAAAATTAAGCAAGTGTGGTAAAGACCCGGGGAAGGGGAGGGATGCTGAGTGGAAGGGGTCAATGGGAGGAAAAAAGGGACATCTGTGATACTCTCAACAATAAAGATAATTTTTTAAAAAAAGAAAATGAAGCAAATTATGCTTTGTTAGCAACTCAGATGTAGGTGTGGGAAGCAGAAGTTTGACATCAATGGTCTCAGAGAACGTTGTTAGCTTATTTCTGTATGTAAGTTGTCCCAGATACTCTGACCCCCTTGACCTGGGATTGAAGGCTGGACTTTGTCCTATCTGCTGTATTGTCAGAGCACAGCATCAAATAATAAGGGTCTAGGCGTTTCCTGTGTGCTAAGAATGCATCTGAAGCTACTCTTCCTGTAACCTAGCATTAGCATCACCTTGGAATTGCTAGAAATGCAAAACATCAGTTCCCAACTGCCTGAGATGTTGACATAAGCTGAACCAAAAACTTGGGCGGTGGGGCTTAGCAATCTGCTTTAACAAGCTCTCCGGGTGAACATGATACACACTAAATCGTGGGAACCACTGCTAGCATCAATTTGTTCATCTTGGTACGAAAAGCACTATGTGGCCATTTAAACAGGATGCAGAATAATTGACGAGAACTAATTTGCATGAATGGTACGCACAATAACACTGCATTCTCCTAATACTAGATACACCGTGGAGTGAGGCTAAATGGACACAGAATCACATGCCAGAGTCCTCTTCTTGCTTCCTTCAAACCCTTTAAACAATGCTTTTGCTATAAAAATGAGCTGTTTTAAAGGGTGACTCTAACAGCTGACCTGCCCTTGCAAATTAGAGCATAGCAATTTATTCGCTTATGTCCCTGTATCTGCCTAGCCAGCCTAACCTGAAAAGAAAAAAAGGACCATTCTCATCTGCTGACTGACCTTGGCTGGCTGTTCCTGGAATCACTAAGTGGAGCCCAGGTGACCACGTACCCAGGGCATTTGCAGGGACTGCAGAACCACGAGGCTAGACCAGTGCTTCTCACACCTGGAAGGTGCTTGTCAATCAGCTAAGGATCTTGATGCAAAGCAGGAGATGCCAGTAATATCGCCATCTTGGGAAATAGGGCAGAAGATCTGCTCTTCACCTGCTCAGAGTGAAGCTTGGGAGTCAGCATTTCTAACAAGTCCCCCGGTGATGTAATGCTGCTGGCCCTCAGACCACACTTTGAGTAGCAATAGTCTAGTGCTCTCCCGTCGAATCCTGAGATTCTGACCCAAATGCAAAACTGAGCTAGCCTCTCTCTTTGCTGTATTTCTTTGCCAGTTCCGCCAAGAATAATTCCAGGGGCCAATCCTGTTCTGGGAGAAGATTGCTTGTTCTCCTATTAGGGCAGAAACAGGAATAAATTTCATGATCAAAAGCCTCTTTGCCAAGTGAAAGAACCGCTGTTCATGAACTAGGCCTTAATGCTGGTGCTCCTACCAGCTGCCTCACTGTCACCATCCTGACTGGAGGGAGTGAAGGTTCCTGGCGTCAATGCCTCTCCTAGAAAGACCAGCCTTGACCCCTGTACAGAGATAGAAAGCTGATTATTCCGTTCTTGTCTTTCCAAAAGACAACAGGGTAGATGCGCAGCTCTTCCATCCCAACTGCCTGAGATGTTGACATTCAATGGGACAATCTTGGAACAGTGTCCTCACTGTCAGTGCTTACAGATTTCTTCTTCTTCTTCTCCTTCTTCTTCTTCTTCTCTTCCTTCTTCTTCTTCTTCTTCTTCTTCTTCTTCTTCTTCTTCTTCTTCTTCTTCTTCTTCTTCTTCTTCTTCCTCTTCCTCTTCTCCTTTTGTAAATTAAGGATCTCAGCCCTGCTATATTGGAGAAGTGGATCTCTGCTCATAAAAATCAAGTAAATTCTGCCTAATCTCATTCAAGGCAGTAGAAGACTATTCTCTTGTTCCTCAAACCCTCTTAGCAACACTTTTGCCAGCCTCTGAGGGTCTCTGTGACTTTCCCTTCAACCAGAGTTTTGGTCATGAGATCCCATGTTGGACCACCTGAGCCAATCTTTGCTTCCTCCAGGGGCCCTGACAGCACCACGCAGTCCCCTTGGTGTCTCAACTACAAGTGCTTCTATAAAAGCAACAAATGCCTGCCTTTGATGGATTGCTCATGCTTCTGTCCCCTAGAGCTCTCAGAGGGGAGGAGCCTGGCACAGGTGTATCTTAATGGATATGTCGAATGAAGAAGTGAAGTCAACGAAAATCTCGGTGGCCTTAGGTTACAGAAAAATTTCTAGATATGACACCAAAAACACCCACAAAAGAAAAAAATTTGATAAATTGGACTTCATCGAAATTGAAAATTGCTCATCAAATAATACCATTACGAAAATGAAAAGACAAGACACAGACTGGGAAAAGTGCATCTCTTTTATGTAGAAAATAAGAAATGTATTATATGCACTGAACATGTCTTCACATTTTTACTTTGTCTGAAACTATCTTGAAAGACAGTTATCTTTCCATTCAGAACTGGGTGATGTTAGTTACTAACATAGAAAAAATAAAGATATTTGCCTGGTTGATGTGCTCAGTGGTTGAGCATCGACCTATGAACCAGGAGATCCCAGTTTGATTTCTGGTCAGGGCGCATGCTTGGATTGCTTGATATCCAGTAGGGGATGTCCAGGAGGCAGCTGTTCAATGACTGTCTCTCATCATTGATGTTTCTATCTCTCCCTCTCCCTTCTTCTCTGAAATCAACAAAAAAATATTTTAAAAATGATAAATATATGTCTACTATAATAAAACCATCTTCAAAAATGTGTTTTAACATTATTTCTTATGTCTGTCGTGTTGTAAAAAAACACTTTTCACTCTTCTATAGTTCATATTCCCTTTCCTTTTGTGAATTTCTGAAGTAGATAGCCTCTTGGGTTTTACAATTAGATAATAAAATTATTCACTCATTTCTGATAAACAGCACTACACGCTGAATAATTTGACTTCAGAATGTCAGCCTATTGCAACTATGGGCAAAGCAACATTTTTAGACAGTGGGCTTCAGGGCTGGGGCAACCACCTACAACATCAGGTGTGACCTGTTGTGTCAGGAACAAAACTCTCATCAGAGATAGGGCAGTACCAGCAAGGATGTTGGTTTTCTCCAACTGAGGGTTCTGCCTATTTGGGCTTCAAAGTCCACCTTTCATTTTGCCGGTCACATTGTTATAGGCAGCCAGTGGGAATGGCACCAGATGTCTGACTGGTGGGGTCAGACCAAACCTGGGTTCAGCAACCTCAGTACTTGGGTTCTAGCTAGGAGAGAATTCAGAGCCAAGACCCAAACTGTAGCAAAACTTTTATTGGGTAAATCACAGAGATAGAAAAAGTAATTCCTAGAAGAAATGGGCTTAGGGAACAAGTTACAGAGGTAAAGGAAGGGCCTTTGGAGCTTGGGAGTAAGGAAGCTAATGGTAATGTGCCTGGGGTGGGCGAAGAAGGGAAAGGGAAAGGCTCGGGCATGCTCCTGGGAGGGAGAGCGCACTGGGTTCTTCATCCTAAGGGTTTTAAGGACAGGACAAGATTTTAGGGGAGGTCACAGGGAAAGATCTTAGTAGAATATTCAGTAGCTCTCCAGGTGTGTCCATTCAGGGTTGTGGTCTCCACTGATTGATTGCCTGGCGCTAAGGCAGGGAGTCATTATAATGCAGCTGGTCCTGAGGCTGGTTTTGTTGCTTCCCTGGGCCTGGAGCTGAAATACAACTGAGGCCTAGATGTTTTCTCTAGGGAGGAAAGGTCAGGGGATCTAAACCTCAAGACCAGTTATAGGAGAGGAAAAGTCACCCTGAGGGCGAGGTCCCACCCTACAATTGATTGTCCATTGCCAGCCACCAGTGCTTTCCACGCTGATGACCTCCTGTACCTGGCCCATCGTCCTTGCTCTGCTCCTGTCTAACTACCTAGAGCAAAATCAAAAATCCCCGATAGAGCCCTAACCGGTTTGGCTCAATGGATAGAGCATCGGCCTGTGGACTCAAGGGTCCCAGGTTTGATTCTGGTCAAGGGCATGTACCTTGATTGTGGGCACATCCCCAGTAGGGAGTGTGCAGGAGGCAGCTGATCGATGTTTCTCTCTCATCAATGTTTTTAACTCTCTATCCCTCTCCCTTCCTCTCTGTAAAAAAATCAATAATATAAAATAAAAATCCCTGATAAAGACCCGAGTTCATTGGTGCTAAGTTTCTGATTTATTGCGTTTTGATTTCGTGTCTCTTACATGGACTGGGGATCTGGCACAACTGGTTGGCCCGCTGGCCTAAGAGAGCAACAGAGCAGAGTGGTTAAACTGGTACAGTCCTAGTCTGAATGCCTGGATCTGAATCCGCACTCCCTCACCAACTGTATGGCCTCGGGCAATATACTTGACCTCTCTGTGCTTCCTTAATGTAAAATTAGGATATAATAATAGTTCCTACTTCAGAAGGATGGCTGTGAGGATTAGTGAGTTATTACAGAGAAAGGGCTTAGAAAAGTACAGGGCACAGTAAATATTACCCTTTATTATTTTTATACTTTACTCTGGATCTACTGAGCCACAAACAACTGCTTCACCCAGAGCTACCTTATAAAAAAAAAGTTTGCTTCTGTTTTATTTTGTTTTAGTTCAAACAGTGTGGAAAGAGTACAACCCATCACATTAGAGATGAAGAGTCAGAAGCCTGGCCAGGTGAGGGCTACCTTGAGCTCTCCCACACCCCATAGCTGCCTGAGCCAAGGCCCCCAGCCTGGTGTCCTCCTGGGCCAAATCTCAGCCTCAGGGAGCACCTGAGCCCTCGGCAATGGACTCAACCCAAGGGAAACATTGACTTGATTCAGGTTCACTGAGAATATTTTAACCTGGCTTTGCTCCAGTTCAATGGCTTTAGGAAATGTGTTGGTTTTGTTCTATTTAAAATTGGTTTGCAAGGTTCCTTGATTTCTGCTTTTGCCTTCTTGTTGAAGAAGTCCTGGCTTGGCTTACTTGTACACAAAACAATGTGATTTGGGTTCAATTTGGGGACTAGGACATTGGAATGTCACTTTTGAGGGAGCCATGTCCTAAAGCCCTACATGTGTGGCCCTTTGGGACGCCAAGAGGTACAGCATGACACATTCCTAACCATCCTGCTCACTCTGGACTTCTGCTTTCTTTAGAAAAGGGGAAAGTACCCGTGACCAAGTGAAGAGTCTCGTTTTCCAGTGGAGATCAATCTTCGTACAGAACAATAGGAGGACCAGTGGCCATATTGGGTTCTAGTCCCGTCTAACCACTACCTCCAACAACCCACTGTAGACTTGGGCCTTGGTTTCTTGGAGAATTACTTTCCTGAAAGCACAATTGAAATGATCCAATGAAGAAAACATGTAACAATTCTAGCACATACATGTTAGTTCCCTTCCCTCTTTCCTGCTGCCAAACCCTCCCCTCCACCCTCGTACACTGCCCTTCCTGCCCTCAATTTCCATCATTCTGATTCTATAGAATTCCACGTGGGAAAATCACCCAAGGACAACTGCTGAGGAATATTAGACCTTTGTGTCTAATCTACTAAATTGCCACTTTACTTCGTCAACACATGATGGCCCTTAGTCAAGACCTTGACCAAAATAAGATAGAATGCCTTTCCACACAACTTCGGTAGTTAGAACAGTTACCTTCTACCAGCCTCCCATAGGAGGAGCCTCCTTCTAGATTAGAAGTCTGTAAGCGCCTCCCTTCCCCCAGCCTCTTCCTCCTAGTAAAAGCCCGAATGTCATTTGCATCAGCTTGGAGCTGCTTAGTGAAATCAGTAGGTGAATGCAAATTCTCCTAGGAATTTGAAATCTGTGCAGGGCAATTCCATTTGGAGCTCTTTCCTTGCCTTTCTATTATAGCCCCAATACCAGTTCCCACCTGAGGAGAACCAGGAGAACATGGAAAACTCCAGAGATGGCTTTGTCCCCAAACCAATGGGAAATTTGGGTATTTGTTTATCCTGCTTAAGTATAATCAGGATTCTAGACACTCACATAGAGCTCCCTTGCTAGTGGACGCTTCATTTTCTCCCTCTGCTCCCAGCATTCACCACCATGGCCATCTTCAAATATTGCCTTAGTGCCAATAATGGGCTGGCACCTGGCCACGTGCAAGGGAAAGCCACCTTTGAGGAGCGCTGAGCCCTTTCTTATCAGGAGTGTGGACTCAGACTCAAATTCAACATGAATGGAGGAAGAGGTGGTGACTTTAGGGACTCCTGGACCAGACCACTCAGCTGAGACACTACCCATTCAGGTCTATGCTTACCTACAAGGGCTTCTTCCATTTCAGGCATGTGCTGTGGGTTAACCAGCACTCAAGCAGGAATTACACTAATGTAAAATAATTACACAGTGTCATGATGGAGCTGCTCTTTTAGTCTCCCTCACTTTATAATGTTGGGTGCCAACCTTTGGATGGGCTCAGACTTGACAAAGCGCATTCCCTACTGGGTGCTTCACAGAGGACCCTGTTCTGGGGAGACTTCCCAGGCCACAGTACAGTTCTAACAGGTCTAGCCCATGGGCCTTCAGGCGAGTCAACTTCCAATTATTTTGAAATATGCCTGCTCTTTGTTTTTTGAACATTTTTTGAAGGAGATCCAGGTGCCCCAGGTGCTGTATGGCTTCTGAAATGGATCAGTGAGCTTCCTCGGGGAAGTAAGATCAGGGGGGTCTCGTGAAAAGAACACAGGCTTTGGGGGCAGACAGAGTTTGGAGCTTGTCTCTACCCCCTGCAGCAATGCAGACTTATAAAACATACTCATCTTCTTTGAGTAGCCATTCCCTTCTCTATGGTTCTGAAAGGGTTTCTTTGAAAAGTAGAGGTAATGTATGTAAAGTGCGGGGCTATTGTAGATGTTCAATAAATAGTACATATTATTTATTATTCCACTGAGTGGGTCTTTTCTCCAGAAAATAGATGGATAGGTAGATATGGAACCTTCTGTCCAAAAATGTTATCTTTCACTCACCAAATCTTACCTAGATGTTCTCTTTATCTTTTGTTGTTGTTTTTTTTCCCCCTTGTTTACTCCAGGGGAAAACAATGTTAAAGAAACAACTTCACCAAAGGGACTATTCTAGATTTATCTTTTTCCAAATAAACCCACCTCTTTCCCAATTAGTGATGTATCGGATGAGGCTGAGGAGCATTTTTAAACCCTAAGTAAACATCTTCATACTTGAACAGTCCTTACAAAGAGGGCTTGCATACATTCTATCTAAAAATCCTGTAACAACCCCATGAAAAATATTTTCGCTCTCATTTTAATGAAAAGGAAACTGAGATTCAAGACACGGTAAGTTACTTGGTCAAGTTCACATAGATAGGTAGCAGGAGAGTTTGGTTTCAAACAGGATCTTCCAATTCCTTATTTCCTGTTCAGTCGTGTTATCCAGAAAAGGACACTCTTCACACCACTGTCAGCCTTTGGCACAAATGCTTCTTGGTTTGGCTGGTAGAACACAGAGCTCTGACCGAGTGAACACAGGACAAGTGAGTCCGGCGGGAGGGCTTGAATGTGGCCATCCTCTAGAACTTGAAGTCCTGAGAACTAGGTGAGGGAGCCCCTCGTGGGTCCTAAGGCATCAAGGAGCAGGGTGAGAGCACTGGAAATGCGGGGTACCAAAGGAAGGAAGCGTGTCTGTCAAAGGTATGAGGGAATACTGAAAATCAACTTCCTCCAAGTCATCATCTCACCTTGGGCCAGTCCCACCTCCCTTCTTCACTGTCCTGACTTCACAAATATTTCCGACTTTTCCCATGGCCTTTTCCCAGG